TCCTCTTCCATGGCCACTTCACTAGGCACAACAACCTGTTCCCCAACCATCGGCAGCTGAACCTCCTCCTCAATCATCACATCATCACTACCCTCGGCAGCCACCAAAGCAGGTGCTATCAACCGTGAGTCCTCAAACGATGAAAAAGACGGCCTGCCCATCCCAGCCGAAGTGGGGAGAGGAGGCTGCCCCTCCTCCGCTGAGCCGACTTCCGCATCAGCAGGGGTCACCGTTTCAGGCATGTCTTCCAAAGCTGGAACCCCATCCGAGCCATCAACCAGTCCATGGCCAGCGGCACTTAGGTCTACGAGTTGGCAGGTCAACGCAGCCTCACCCGCACCGCCTGACCGCATCTCCCCGGCATCCCTGGTGTCCGTCTGTCCATGAGCAGCAGCGGGACCTGAGTCTCCAAATTGTTGACGTAGAGCAGCCGCATCGACACCTCCTGCCTGCATCTCCGTAACAACCATGGCGTCCTCCACGCAAGCCCCAGGGCCATCAGCCTGCCCATGGGCAGCAGCGGCAATTAGGCCTCCAATTTATTGCGCCACCGAATCCACAGCTCTTGCCTGCACTTCCACAGCACCCCTAGTGTCCTTCACGCGAGCCACAGGACCCCCCAGCTCAGCCTTTTGGCATTGACTGTTAGCATGGCCCAAGCGCCAGCAGTTGGTGCAGTACTGAGGCACATATTCTGCCTCCAATGGCTGCCAAAAACCTTCACTGGAGTTTTCCACTCCAATCCACACCCGAGATGGGAAGGGGCGGAGAAGGTCGACTTCGATGCAAACGCGAGCAACGCTCGGCCTGGTTAGATTCACGGTTGCAGCGTCCAGAAACAAAGGCTCCCCCACCGTTTGAACAATGGAAAAGAGAGAGTGTTTGTTGAAGAAGTGGATCGGCAGGCCTGGGAGGGCAAACCAAATTGGAGCCAATGATGACTCTCTATTCACATGGAACGAAGAGGACCACTTGAAGACCCTCATGGGGAATTTGCCCACGTACCAAATACCTCTCAACCAGAGACGATGGAAGTCCGATTCAGATGAGCAACAGAGGAGAACATGACGTGCATCCAAGCGGCCTACCGTACATGAATCCTTCAAGTCCAGGGAGCGTACAAATTTCCTAATATCCTCCAGTTTGGGCCGACCCCGAGAGAATTTGCCTACCAGAGACAGCCGAAACGGTGACGCAAGCTTGGAGATATCCTCCACCGAAAAAAAGATAGCAGCTTCTCCTAAAAGGTTAAAAGTGTTAAAACCCCTAAAAGGTTATTCCTTTTTATGTCCCAAGAAAAGGAAGTGAATGTATTGATTTTTAATGGAAAAATTGTGCCAAAATTAGAATATATATCATGTTTGATTTTTGGGAAAGAAAATTAATGGGATTTGCAACATGCACAAAAGGAAGCCATAGCGATTTATCTAGTGGATGACAATTTTGAGATTTCTTGTACATTTCAGATTTGTTTATAATTGTTGTATCTGTTAATGAAATTTTCTTTTTATAAAAATAAAAAGTAAGTTGAGTTCATAAGTGTTTGGTATAGATTTAATTGTGCAACATGTACTAAAAATACAAAACATTACACATTTCCCATAATTTCTTTAAATATATAAATAAATTTTATATACACCGACAGTACATATACTATTACTGTTAGATCTATGGCACATGTGCAAAAGTTGAATTTTAAATTTAAATTTTGCATAGTTATTATTCATTTGAAAATAATAATGTATACATTATTTGTGTAGGAAAGATTAATCATAAATATATTGGTAATAAATAATATCGTAATTCAAAGTTTTTTTTAATAGCAAAACCCGCTCAACGGGTGGGGATGCCAGCCCTTGATTTTATTAATAACCAACAACATTAGAATTAGTTCGAGTACACAAACCGCTTACCCCCTATCATTGAGAGACTACCCTTTGTCCACCTACATGCGTACATAGCAAAACTCTCGAGCAGCCCGAATCCTTCTTGGAAGTTGATCTTGCGAGGTACAAAAATACTCTGATGGAAGCCTCAGCTTAGATAGCATATCAGCAAAGGAATTCGCCTCCCTAAATATATGCTGGATCGAAGCCGAAAAAAAAAGAAGTAATGCTTATATCCTTCTGACAGTGTTGCAGAGTAGCCACTTGGCTATTCCTGTTGAGTTGAGCAATCGAACTAGACTTTCCGAATCCACCTGTACCATTAATCACCCTTTGAGCCCTTCTGAACATCGCTGGAGTCCATACAACAGTGAGGAACTTTCTGCTGTTAGTACATCCAACTCCCCAAACTCCTTGTAGAAAGCGAAAATTAACCTGCCATTCGAGTATCGCAACAAACCTCCCCCATAAGCTCAGCCGTGACTGAGACTTGCGTTCGTATTAAGCGTGAGCCACTATGCCGAAGGTCTCTTCCAGGAGACTATCATCGCTCTACACTTTAGCTTCACAGCTACCGTCCAGCGGGACCATGGATCCTCTAGGTCACCCCTAAAGCTGGCCCCTGATACCTCCCCAATTGTTCGACAAACTGCTCAACCATGAAAACAACATCTTGCGCCTGAAAAGAAACTCCTTCATACCGTACTTTATTCCTCCTCTTCCATAAGAAGCATAGCACAAGTAATGGAATAATTGTGCGTATATGACCCAGCGCCACCATAGAAGTTGAGTAAAACCATGAAAGGAGTGTGGCTGAGACAGAGGAGGAAGGGCCATCCAAAATCCTGAACCCTCTCCGAAAATGCTCCCAAACATCCTTCATTACCGGACCAGCCACAAAAACATGTAGTATGGATTCTTCTGCAGCTAGATAGCAAGAACAACGAGAGCCCAAGGAGAAACCTCTCATTTTCAAGACCATCTCCAAGGGCACCCACCCCCGAATCAGCTTCCAAACGAAAAAAGAAATCTTGAGGGGGATCCTACTACCCCAGACAAATTTATCCACATGTGAGACGCTACGTTTCTGTCTAATAGTATCCCATGCAGCCTTGATTGAAATTTCCCCTGTGGCAGCACCCACCCATACCATGCAGTCCTCCTGGTTCGGATATAACCTGGCTTCTTGAATTTGACGCACCAAATTCTCCGGCACCCACTCCCTTAACTGCTCAATCTTCCAATTTTCGTTGTCAAAAAATTCCGCTAGCAACATATGCGGAGGACTCAAGACAGGAATCATCTCTGCAAGTGGCCGGTCGGAGAGCCACCGATCATACCAAAAATCGATAAACCCCTTACCTACACACCAACGAATGCACCTTTTTGCTGTCTCCCAGATCCTTTCCAAAAGTCTCCACAACGCTGAAGGTTGACATACTTGAACCCTGGAGGGGTGCGTCCCCTTGACGTACTTAACCTGCATGAAATCGGCCCAAATCGAATCATTTTTCCTCAAGCGCCACCAAAGCTTGCAATCAAAAGCCGAGCTCATATCCGCAAGGGACCTAAACCCTAACCCTCCCTCCTCTTGGAGGAAACACAAATTCTCCCAGGTCACCCAGTGAATACTCCGTGACTCAGATGATTTGTCCCATAGGAATGAATTACAAATCCTTGCCAACCTCAGAAAGACTGCTTTTGGGGGATGCAACACCTGCAGTAGATACAATGGAATTGTCGTGACGACGTCTCGAATCAGCACCAACTTTTCCCCAGACGACAACAATCTCAAACTCTAATAGAACACGCACTCTCTTATCCGGGAAACAATGTTGTCAAATAACAAGCAGATGTTCCTTCCCCTAGAAATGGGTGCCCCAAGATAAGTGAACGGCAAACCTTGATGCGGGAAATGCAGTTTAGAGCTCACCCATGCGCATTGATCTTCCGACGCTCGTGAAGAAATAATGAAAGAGCTTTTCGATGAATTAACTTTTTGACCCGAGTAGGACTGATAACTATCAAGAAAATTCTTCAGAGCATCCAGACCTGAATCATGACACCGTGTAAAGATCATAATGTCATCGCGAAGGTTAGATAGGGAATTTTTTACCCCTCCGACACATAAAAGCGACTCTCCTCCTGAGAGAAGTGGTGCTGCAACCCCCGACCTAAGAATTCAGTTACTAACAGGAATAGTGTCGGAGATAGCGGGTCACCTTGTTTGACACCCCTTGAAGACCTGAAGAATCCTACTGGAGATCCATTGATCAAAACCAAAAACTAGTTATTCGATACCGTACGGAAGATTAAGTCGACCACCCATTCGTGAAAGCCAAACTGCCGCAACATAAAAATTAAAAAGCTCCACTCCGCCCGATCGTACGCCTTCTCCATATCCAGTTTGAGTATCAAATTCGGGGAGTTTAACCTCTTATCCAGCTTCAAAACCATTTCTTGGGTTAGCAAAATATTATCCACAATACTCCTTCTTGGCACAAAACCCATCTGCCAGGGCGAGATCAACTTAGGCAGAAGTCTATTGATGCGGTTAACCATAATTTTGGAAATAATCTTTGAACTTGTATTACAGAGACTAATGAGACGGAAATCTCGCCATTAGGACGCCCTAGGGACCTTCAGAATAAGGACTATGAGCGCACTCGAAAAGCCCCTTGGTAGGGTACCCCTTTTAAAGAAATCTTGTACAGCTTGCAGCAGATCCATGTTAATAATCTCCCAGCACTGTTGGAAGAAACCGACTCCAAAACTATCCGGACTCGGAGCACTCTCAGGTGACAGAGCGAAAGTGACTTCTTTTAATTCTTCCATCGTTGGCAATTTCCCTATCATCTCGTTCTCTACCAGGGTCACCCTGGGGATCGAGAAATTTAGTATCGGGGCAGCCCTTTCTCTCCGTTCAGATGAGAAAATTTTGGAAAAAAATTGGGCAGCCGAATCCTTAATTCCCAACGCATCTTCAATCCATTGACCTCTATCCCCTTTAATACGGGAAATAAAATTAGTATTCTGCCTCTATTTGACAACATAATGGAAAAAACACATATTGGCGTCTCCCACCTGGATCCACTTTATAGTCGATTTTTGCCTCTAAAATTCACTCTCTACAGCCAAAGCCCTTGTAAATGCTGCCCGTTCTTCCCCTAGCTTGGATTTCGAAATGTCATCTCGTCGCAGTTGAAACTCGGACTCGCATTGTCGCAGCTTCTCCTCGGCCTGCTGCACCGCTTGTGAGATATTACCAAAACATTGAGAATTCCACTGCCGAAGTTTTATTTTGGTATTGACCAGTTTTTTGAAAAAACCATGCATTCCCCCTAGTTGTACGGGTTCTCGCCAAGCTTCTTATACCGTTTCCAAAAAAATTGGGCGCTTTCCCCAGATATTGAGAAAGCGGAATGCAGAACCCTGCTTAGGCCTTTGTCCACTCCTGATCAGCAACGGGACATGATTTGACCTTCCCCAGACCAAGTGAGACATTTTAGTTACCCCGAACATATTCGACCAAGCTTCATTGACAAGTGACCTGTCAAGGCATTGCCACATAGTTTCGTTCGTCCAAGTAAAAGGCGAACCATCGAAGTCAACTTCCACCAATCCACAGCTAAACATTGTATCATTAAACTCCTCCATGTTGCGTTCATTGGGAGGGGCCCCCCCGGACCGTTCACTAGATTTGGAGATGACATTGAAGTCATCTGCCACCATCCATGGTCCCAACAATTGATTACTAACCACCCGTATCGCTCCCCACAACACACGTCTACCGGTCCTCGTGCACTTCGCATATACCGCCGAAAAGGAAAAGGGGGAGTTAGCCCATTGCAATGACAAATGGACTAGTTGGTCCCCTATTTCCTGAAAGCTAATGGTGTGATGACCCCACCTTTCCCCTAGGGCTTACCCAAGGGTTTGGTGAACCACCTGCCCAACTCTCACCAGGACTCACTCAATCAACTCTCAAGATTAATCATTCAAGCCTCCAGAATAACATTTAAGTTCTACAATTCAACCAAAATGTAAACTTATTTACAACTCAAAAGGCAAACGTATGATACAATACCAAATGTCGACATATATCCTATCAACCAAAAGTATAAGTACAAGAGGATTATACACTCTAATTCATACTTAATTGCTTCGGACCTCCATTCTTGTAAGGAAAAAAAAACTAAAGGAATGAACTAAAAGCCCAATGAGGTTCCTAAACAAGCAATCAAGTAAAGAACCCATGGAAATATGGCATTTAACATTTTGAAAACTTTGCACAATAATATCCAGTCATTCAAGAAATAAACATTCAATCATTGGAAGGATACGTACTCACTTGGAGCCATTTATTCAAATCATTTATTCATTCATTCGCCAACCATTTTCCTTATCCCTCCACCATTAGAAAACGTTTGCAAGTGAAAACTCCTTTAGTGATCTTGTCATTCATTCATTGATATCATTGCATTGAATTCACTGGCCAGTTCTCCACCAGATTTTGTGGTAATATTCGAGTATACCAAACATTGTCCTAGGGTCACCAGCCGCCGACCAAATCTGCTTCTGGCTCGAGTCAACTGGCAACGAAGGGCAATGGCCCAATTCAGCCAAAAGGCTTATATTCATGCACAAGTAGCATTCAATCATTTAATCATTAAAAATTTCACGTTCACTTAGGTCGAGTGCGATAAAGTACACACTCGCCTATCGAAAATTCATTTAACAATCATTGAAAAATATTTAACATGCAAAAAACACTCACCAGTTTAAGCAAAATAACGTCAAAAGTTTCCTTCCGGATTATACCCTTGATCACCGACAAACCCTAAGAATAACCAAAATAAAGTATTATAGTTCATCCATTCAAAGTTTAGGTGTGTAAGGATTGAAGACATCCAAGTGGAAGAGATAAGCAATATAAAGATCACAAATGTAACAATAAGTAAATAAAAAGGAAAGAATTGCAAACCAATTAACTACCCGACTCCTCTTGAGCTTGTAGATTAATTCAAATAAGCTTTTTTAAGTTGATGAATTACAATCATTCTTGTGTATAAAGAAAGGTTCACCTCCTCCTTACCCCAAACTCCACTCGGTCAAGTTAGGAAGTTTTACTATCCCTCAGGACAACCCTCACAGAACTACACTCATGAAATATTTACCCACAAATGAAAAGTTTACAATGAACCTCACACCACTAAGACTACAAATCTTCTTTAGAGAGTATTTTCTCACTAAAACTACTCTAGATCTTTTGTATTTTCAGTGTACAAAAGTTATTTGAAATATCTGACCAACCACTATTTATATAGAACCAAGAAAGTGCCTCATTAATGCTTCCAACGGATAGAAAGTAGTTGAAGAGTCAACTAGCCGTTGGAGTATCGGACGTCTGGTACTCCTGTTTTTTGCGTTCGACAGCAGGCAATGAGTTTGAGAAATTTTCTTCAATTCTATCGGACATCCGGTGCAAGCTCTTTGTGCATCCGACAGCAAACAAAGAGATTTGAGAAATCATCTTGATTCTATCGGACGTCCGGTGGAGACATATTCAGCGTCCGATAGTTTCATCGACTTTGAAGGATCGTATCGGACGTCCGATGCTAGCGTCGGATCGAGGTCAGTGATCCAGGGGGAAAGTCTTATTTCCTTCGGACATCCGGTGGTGGAGTTCTTTATGCGTCCGAAATTGCGCAATGATTGTCGGACGTCCGATCCAAGCATCCGACAGCTTTCAGCAGCCTTTGTCACTTTCAATTGCACTTGATCTTTGAATCTGATTTGTTTCATAACTGAAAATATTTCTTGAAGAGACATTTGTATTATCCATTGTTTTGTAAACATCAAAAGATAGGGATCAAGATCAACATTCTCCCTCTTTTTGTTGATGACAAAACAATGGATGGAAGAAGAAATAATTGAGCCATAAACTTCCCCTCATTCAATGCATCAAAAAAGTTTTCTTAAGTGCCAAACTTATAATCTCAGAAAACTCCCCCTTTCACATAGCATCCATTTCTTCCCCTTTTTGTCATCATAAAATGAGAGTAAAAAATCAGCAATAATAATGCAGCAACAATAATAGAGAGTCCAGTATTCCAGAGAAATGATATTAGAATTCAACAATCACCAACATACCAACATATCACAGAGAGTTGCTATCAAAAGAAGTATCAAACAGAGAAATAACTATCAAAATAATTATCAAAGCAAATCATCATTAGATCAGCATCATTTATTTCTCCTTTTTGTCATTGTAAAAATTTAGTAATATCCAAAAATATCAAGAAAAACTCAATTCAAAGTATCAGAAACATCAAAAGAAAATTACAAACGAACATTATGAACAAGAATCTCATCAATCTTACCAATATCTCCTACTTGTTAGAGTTAGCATCATGTCTAACTATCCACATGCATTTCATGCCTCTTTTCATGTTCTTTCTCACATAACAATCACTTTTCATGTGACCTTTTTGATAACAAAAATTACACATAATCAAAGGGTTGTTTACATGAACAGGTTTAATAAATCTTACTTGTCTTCTCCTATAAATAGTAAATTCATTTGCACCAGAATTTAGTCTCTTCTCATGAGTGCCAAAATGAGCCTTTGATTTATTACCTTGAAAATAATCTTATTTTTTATGTTGGAACAATTCATTTAAATTATCCATTCTTCTTTTCAAATCACTTTGTTCCTTTTTGAACATTTCACAAAATCTTGTTTTTCTATCAAACTCAAAATGTAAAACAGTCTCACTCTTTTTTAAGAAATCACTTTCAGTTTTCAATTTTTTATTTTCTTGAAAAAGACGTGCATTGTCCTGAAGAAGAAAGCCAATTTTATGTTTTAATTCCTTGTTTCTAGTATAAGATTCTTTCAAACTATTATGCAATTTTATAATGAAAGATTCAAGATCATCATCACTTTCATCATCACTTTCAAATTGAGAGTTAGAAGATGTTACCTCATCATCTCCAATGGCCATAAAAGCCAATTGAGCAGATTCTTCTTTCTCTTCAATTTCACCATCGGAGTTGCACTCATTCCATGTGAATTGGAAGTTGTTGAATCTTGATTTTCTTTCAACTTTTCTCTTCTTCATTGGACACTCACTCATGTAGTGTCCAAGTTGGCCGCATTCATAACATTTGTCACCTTGCTTTTTGTTGGCCTCATACTTTTCTTTGTTTCTTGCATTGTTGAATTGATTAGAAATTGAATTGTTAGATCCTCCTCTTCTAAATCTCCTTTCATTGAGGATCCTCTTGAAACTTCTTGTGATGAGAGTTAGATCACTATCATCAGCTTCCACATCTTCTTCATCTAGGGAGGCAGAATCATCTTCATCTTGAGATGCCTTTAGAGTAATGCTCCTTCTTACTTTCGCATCCTTTTTCTCTTGCACTTTGGACTTAAGTTTCAACTCATAAGAGGTTAGAGAATTAATAAGAGATTCAATGGGCAAGGAATTCAGATCTCTTGCCTCTTCAATAGCAATAACTTTACTTTCTCAATCTTTAGACAGAGCATTCAAGATTTTTCTATTTTTCTCTCCTAAGGTATATTATTTTTCCAGAACCTCTAAATCTTTAATAAGATTATTGAATTTACAATACATTTGATCAATATTTTCATGAGATTCCATCTTAAACGACTCAGATTTAGTAACCAGGATAGATTTTTTCTGTTCTCTAACATTCTCACTACCTTCATGAATTTCTTTCAGTTTGTCCCTGTAGACACCAAATTTTTGATTTTTGATTTTTAACTTTATTTGTTTAATTAATTTAATTTTGCTTTATTTGTTTCAATTCTAGGGTTTTTTATTTTTATTTTGTTCTAGTTCATTTTATTTTATTATCTATTTATTTTTGTCTTCATATTAAATTGCAAAAAAAAAAAAGGAAAATCATCAATCAAACACAAAAAAAAAAAACCACAAAAATCAAAATAAAAAAAAATGTTAGCATTTTTGTTTTTATCCTTTTATTCCTAGTTTTAATCATTTCATTCGATTTTATTTAAATTGTTATTTTTGTTTATTTTGTTTTATTTCCATTTTATTAATTAACTGAGTTATTGCAAAGAAAAGAAAATTAGAAAAGGAAAGGAAAAAACAAAAATCATGTACAGGAAAAGAAAAAGGAGAGAAAGAGAGCCGGTTCCACTCATTTTATTTCTTGCTCAAATTTCTGGACACCTGACCATCCGACTCATCAAGAAATATCAGTACAAAAAGCCATCTAATGGCTTAATAATCACCGAAAAAGGCAGAAAAATATGCACCATTGATCCTAGGTTCTAAGGATATTCGGTGCCTATAAAAGCAAGAGAAAGAGGTTGGCGGCTGAGAGGGAGAGTTGGAGAACGTCGGATGAAGGGTTTGGGGGGAAGTAGCGGATGAAGAGGTGACGGCTGAGAGGGCTAGAGGGCGGAGAAAAGAGAAGGAAATATCTGACGGCAGAGGGAGGAGGATAAAAGGGAAAAGAAAGAGACCAGAGAGGAGGGAGGTCAGAGGTAGAATCAAAATTGACGGCTGCATAGCTAGGAAAGAAAAACCACAACTGGGGAGTTCGGGGGAGATAGAGGGAACTTTGAGAGAACCGGCTAGAGGGTTGGCAGCTGAGAGTCTGGATGACGGCTGAGTGAGACCGAGAGAGGAGCGCTGAAGGACAGCTGGAAAATCTGAGAAAAAGAGAGGAAGGGGTTG